GAAGCCCTGAGCTGTCGTTGCATGTGGAGTCCGTGCCCCCAGCGGGTTAGCATTTCATTGCTCTTGGTTTGTTGCTGGCTTTGCCCACCCAGTCCGACTACATTTCTAAAGGAAGAGAGAATGAAATGCCACAGGCCAGCGGCCATCCCAGGAGCAACACATTCTCATTTAACCCTGACGGTCTCCCTCTGGGAAGGAGAGGAGGCAAAGGCTCAGAGAAGGTCAGGGATTTTTCCATGAGCGCAGGGCCTTGGGGACAGCAGAACTGCAATTTGAACCTAGGTCCCTTAATTCCAAAGCCTGTTCCCACCAGGCCTCGCTGCTACCTCCTGTGAGAAATAAACCTGGGAAACGGACAGCCTCCCTGGGAGAATGGTCCTGAAACACATCGCAGTAAGAAAGGGTCCCAAACAATAATATCCCCGCATTATGAGTGGTGATCTGAGGACAGTGATATCCCACGGTTATTAATGGGTTAAGAGAAACAAAGAGCTCTTGCCCCCACCCAGAATCTCCTTAAGGGATAAAATGCACAAGTTCTGCTTAGTTTCTCTGCCCCTCCTGCGGTTTCCTTTTGGGGGGGCTCCAAGGCATTGCTCCGACTAGTTTTCCCAAACACGCCACGAGACTATGACTTACTCTTCCTCTTAGCTCTTTTTAGAAAACTAGGTAAAATACATGAATAACTGGGCTCGCACGGACTATACACTGTCTTTACGCCTCCGTGACAGCCCGGCCATGCGCCCCACCCTGAGTCCAGCACTGTAAAGAGAGCGCAGACTTTGGAACCAGTGGGGCCGAGGTCCGCCTGCCAGCACTGCCCCTTACTTCCTGGACCAGTGCAGGAGTTACTCCGCTGAGCCTCTCTCTTGGAAATGGGGATGCCACCCCCACCCCAAAGGGTTTATGAAAGAATTTCTAAACAGTGCCTAAGGAAGCGCCCCCCCACCCCCCAGGGTTGGCAATGGTTGGTCCTCAATGGTAGTCACCGTGATTGTTCTTATGTGAAAGCAAACAAAACAGCAGTGGAAATGGGTTTTTGGCTTGAGTCTAGGGAACACTCACCTGATAGTGTTTCCTACTAAAGAGGGAAAGGAAAAAAAAAAAAATTAGTATCAAATAACATCCACTGCAGCCTCACAAAAGTTTTTAATCAATGTCAAATCTACGAAAGAGAAGATGGTGAGAAACCCGACTCCACAGGAGAGGTGACGGGGTACTCTGGAGTGGTACTCGGGGGCTTCATTTCTGCACATCTGGACCCAACGAAGAAGCCTACAGAATGGGGACTCCAGGTGGGAGCATACCAGGGGCCTCCTTCCCCCAACCACACCCTTTCAAAAGGCCTGAAGGAGAAGAGAAAGGACCCCAGAAGTCCTTACATTTCCAGCAGAAGACAGGGCTGTAATATAACATAAGCCCAGAGATGATGGCCAGTCCCAGCAGAAGGAGGCTCACGACGGTTCCCACAATTCCCACGATGTTTAAAGGTTCTGCAGAGACAAATCACACCGTTGACTCCTGCACCTGACAGGCACGGGGCTAGGAGAGGGAGAGCAATGCCGCCCCTCCTCTGTCTGGTCCTAGTCTTATCTTGGTTTCATGGTGTTGGGCAAGGCATGTGACCCGTCTGTAAAGCAGGGTAAATAAATCCCCTGCCTACCGAGGACAGCGCGTGGGAACCAAGTGAAGCATGTGACATAAAAGAACACTGGAAAGTTAAAATCCCTACGTGTCTACCACACATTAAGACCTTGTAAGGCCACAGTAATTATGAGTGAGTTATTGATGCCACAATAAACAGTGATCAATGGAACAGACTAGAAAATCCAATATCAGGCCCGCACGTGAAAGGAAAGCTGATATATGACAGCTTAGTGAGTAAAAAGAGGAACTATTTGAAAAATGGCGCTGGAATAAATGGTTATCCAAATTGGGGAAAAGGGGGAGAAAAACTTGATCCTGGCCTCACACCATTCATAAAAATCAGCTCCAGATGGAGTAAAGATTTAATTGTGAAAGGCAAACCATTAAAACATTAACTGTCTTTTGTGGCTGTGGGATAGTTAAGGATTTTTAAGACAAAAATTGCTAATGATATAAGAAGAAATTCATAAAATCAACTGCATTAAAGTAGGAATGTTTGCTAATCAAAAGATACCATAAAGAAAGTGAAAAAGACCATCAAGAAGATACCTGTAACCTAAAACTAACATGGAATCGGTATGCGGGATTCCTGGAGAATGCCTCCACATCTCTAAGAAAGGGTAAGATATCAAAAGATACAAATATGTATGAGTTGCACAGAAGAAGAAATACAAGTAGCAAATAAACATAAAATAATGCTCAATCTTCTGAGTAATTAGAGAAACTCAAATTAGAACCACGGTGGTGAACAAAAATCCTAAAGCCTGCTGGTGAAAACATGGAGCAAAGATGCTCCTACACGACTGTAACAAATGGAAACTGGTGTAATCGTGTTGTAAGAGGACTTGGTTATCCCATAGGATGGAAATGCAAGTAACCTGTAACCCTTCATCTCTACTCCTTTACGTATCCTAGAGAAATATTTGCCGGGGGACCCAGTGTATATGTACACACAGGAGCTGGGTAAAATATTTTCATGGCAACGCTGTTTATCAAAACAAAAAAGTTAGAAACCACACAAACGTCCATCAGCAGGAAAAACAGTGACCTGGTTGTGTAATAGTGACACAGTGGAGAGTTATACAGCAGGTGAAGCGGTACAAAGTGTAATTACACACGTCGGCGTGGATAAATCCATGAAACAAAATGTACAGGGAAAAAAGCAAGTCACAAAAGACGACGTTTGCATGGTAACTGTCATTTTTTAAAACTCAAAAAGACAAAAACAAACAGCGTATTATTTAGAAGTGTGTACGTATGCAGCAACATTTTTTCTTAAATAAGACAAAATTCAGGATAGGGGTTATCTTTTCTAGGAGGCCAGAATGATACTAAAAATGAGCCTATAGGTAGGGTTCCAAGATAAAATACAGGATACCCAGTTAAATCTGGATTCCGATAAACAACAAATAATCTTCTAGAATCAGTATGCCTTGTGCAATATTTGGGACATACTTATACTACTTAAAAACTATTCTTTTTTTTTTCCCTGAAATGCCAATTAAGCGGGCATCCCATTTTATTAGTTTCTATGTTGTTTTCTAAATCTGGCCACCACAGTCCCTACAGGCCTTCTTCTGTATCACGTGGGATATAGTTTCTTGGGTGTTCCTTTTGCTATGATGCTTCACAACTTACATTACATATTTATTTTTATATATTTCATATTTATGTTTTTTTCATACATAGATATCCTTTGGTATACAGCAGAGATTAAGTAATTTTTATCCCTATGCAAATATTAGAGCTTTAGGACTGACTGGCCATGAATTTGTCCCATCCATCTTGTCAAGCCACAGGCAAGCAGACATGCCTTCTCCCAGATGGCATGACCCACCTGCGGAGAAGCACCAAGCTGTCCCCGTGCTGGTGCCAGGTCCTCTGAAGAGTTCTCAGACCTCCTCATTTGGGGCCACTTCTGTCACTCACCTTTCACGCTCAGCCAGATGTCCACTTCCCTCACCCCCACGGGGTTCTCGGCCCGGCAGACGTAGTAGCCCTCATCCAGGTCCTGAGAGCAGTTCTGGATGGTCAGGGTGGAGGTCTGGTCATTCTGGGTGATGACATAGTGGTTGTTGGGCTGGATGACCACCTCCGGCTGGGTGAGGTTCCTCAGCCACAGGATCTTGGCAGAGGGGTAGGCTCCTGACACCTGGCAGGTGAGTGTCACATTGCCCCCCACGAAGCAAGTCTTCATGGGCTCAGAGAGAAGGAAGGGGCTCCCTGGTGACAGAAGGAGGTAAAGAAAGACAAATGCTTAAGAAGATTCAAGCTGTGGCCGGAGATTTTTAAGAATATTGTTTCCTTCCTAAGGAAGCAACTCCAGGAACTTCTGCACCACACCCGGTCATTTATAATACTGACATTTACTGAGCACTGACGATGGGCTGGGCACTTTTGTACATACGAACCCAGTTAGTTCTCACAACAACCCTGCCATTATTTCCATTTTCCTGCTGTAACAAACGGCTTTGAACTTAGTGGCTTAAAACAACAGAAATGTGTCCTTTTATAGGTCTGAGGGTCAGAAGCCCAAAATGATCTTATCGGGCTAAAAGCAAGGTGTTGGCAGAGCTGGTTCCTTCTGGAGGCTCTAGGGGAAAAGCCATTTCCTTGCCTTTCCAGCTTCCCGAAGCCACCTGCATTCCTTGGCTTGTGGGCCCTGCTTTGCATCACTCCAACCTTTTGCATCTGCTGTCACATCACCTACAACTGAGTTTGACCCTCCAACCTCCCTTTTATAAGGATTCTTGTGATAACATTGGGCCCACCCAGATAATCCAGGACAATCTCTCCATCTCAAGTCCTTCATCACATCTGCAAGGTCTCTTTTGCTAAGGAAGGTTAACATATTTACAGATTCTATGGATTAGGAAATAGACATCCCTGGGGGGACCATTACTCTGCCTACCCCAGTTCTGTCCTAGAAATGCATGGGATGTCCCTGTGGCCTTGAGGTCTGATTAAGCAGGACATGGGGAGTTATAAGGTTGACCATAGTGATCCATTTGTTTTCTCCACACAAGCAGCCTTTTCCCAAAATGCACACCCTCCTGGGAAGGGTGACAACTTCATCTTGTGGGTTATAAAGACCGTATTTTCGGCAGCTGAGAGATACAGAGTGGCATGTTGGGTATCCGCCCGGGAGAGTGAAACTACACACTTTCCCTTGGCAGTTGTTCCAAGAGAGAATCTAGGGTTTCATGGCTGGTGTCCTGGGTAGAGGGCAGGGGGCAAAGGGGTGGGGGTGGAACAGACTAAAACCTCTCTCTGTAGGTCAGGTCAACAAAAGAGAATACCCCAAACTTAGGTTTGCTCAGGACACTCACATGTTGCACCCCTTCTTGGATCAATTCTCAGGTTCCCCCCTATGTTGCTAAATCACACCTTCCTCTGCCTGTGGTTAACCTGAATTTCCTTTGGGGTCACCAAGCCAGCAGCAGTAACAAGCCTCAGTATGTTTGTCTCTTGAAGCCCCCAAACCAAAGTTGGAGAAGTGGCCCCTCACCCTTTATTAAAAGCAAAACAAACAATTTGGTTATTCCCCACAACTCCCAAAGATCATGTACATAAACACACTTTTGACAAACACAGCATGCACCACTCAAAAAGCTGAGTCACCCACCCAGTTGGCATGGCACCTGTACACATTCAAAGAGTTTCGCTTAAGAGGCTAGGTCATAAAAAGGAGTGCATCTACCTGGCTTACTCCCTCTTGCAGCACTTGCTCTAGGGGAAGCCAGCTGCCATGTTGTGGGGACACTCAAGTAGCCCTGTGGAGAGTCCCCCTGGAGAGGAAGCGACTTGCCAGGTGTGAGCGTGAGCACCTCAGAAGTGGATCCTTCAGATGATTTCAGCTCCCCCAGCCAAGTCTTGCAGCAGAGACCCCAGGCATGGTGAAACCAAGACAAACCAGCCCTACTGTGCCCTCTCTGAATTCCTGGCCCACAGAAATCGTGAAATAATAAATGATCTGTTGTTTTAAGCCATTAAGTTTGGGGGCAATTTGTTATATAACAGGAGATAGATAATAAAAGAACCTTGTCAGTCTTGTTCACTGCTCCATCGCCAGCACCTAGAAACCGTGCCTGGTGCACAGCAGGTGCTTAATTAATATTTGTGACGTGAAGAACAGCGCGGACTAGGACCAAAAAACTTGGTTAAGTATCTTCCAAGTTTGAAAGGAAGGAAACATAAAGCAAAAGAAAGGAAGAAAGGGAAGGAATTCGGTTCATTCTGACATCCTTGGATTTCTTTCCCAGACCTTCTTTCAAATGGTTCTCCCAGAAGAAAGCGAGTAGACCCCAACCCCAGGACAAGGTAAGCCAGACTCACGGATCTGTACTACGCAGCTGGCTCCTGACTGCGGCCCCACTATGTGGCTCCCCACACACTTGAACGTCTTGCCATCTGACAGCTGGGACCGGTTCAGCATCTCCACTCCCAACTTTGACGACCCCACGACCACACCTCCTGGCTCTTCTGTCCACAGGAAGTTAGGGTCTGGGTAGCCCCCGTCCCAGCGACAGGTGAGCTGCAGCATGAACAGTCTTGGTGACATCTCTGCCCAGCACTCAAGGTCTGATGAAGGGGGAGCTGCAGAACACCAGAGGAAAGCATGGGCTTAATCACAGACTCCAAGATCCGGCATTGGGCTGGTTCTAAGGACTAAGAACCAGAGGATCAGAGAAACTTCAACCCCAGGTAGTGTACCTTGAGATAGCTCCCAGCACAAATTAGTGCCTGACAATAGTCAGGTTCCCTCTGCTAGGTGTTCAATATCTCAGGGCGTGGGACTGATTTATCTTTGTGTTTCTCACTAACTTCGTGTGGCTACTGAAGTTTAAATTAATAAAATAAAACTACCGATTTAGTTCCTCCATCACACTCCCCACATCACAAGTGCTCAGTACCACATGTGGTAGGTGGCTGCTGCACAAGTCTACACAGAATGGAACACTTCCACCACCACAGAAAACTCTACTGGGCAGTTTTGGCCCCCAGAGGGAGTTACAGGTGGGATTTACTCACTCCCACCCTCAACAGAGACTTCCTTTTTACCGAATGCATGTATTACTAAAAACACAAAATTTTAACAAGTTACAAATCCATAAATCCAATGTAATCCATGTGCTAATAACTATATATCAATTTACATATATTACATATGCGTATTATATTACACATGTGTATTATCATATATTTTCTACAATACACATAAGTAGAAATAAATTTGGATCTTATACTAACGGGTAGATTGGTGGCATCTACAAGAAAAAATATTGGAAATATACCAAAATGATGGTTGGAGTACAAGTGATCTACTAATCTGTGTTTCCCACGACAAGCATATATGACTTTATATACAATAAATGCCACTTAAGATAGAGAAAACAGAGACTTACAAAGGCTCTGCATAACGCAAGAATCAGTAGTGTGTCACTACCCTGCCCACTAGCTTGTTTGGATGCTCCCTTCCATTAGCAGGGAGTGTGAGTACTCTCTGCACCTCTACAGTTGTTTCTGTCCAAGAAATCTGTGTACTGGTTTATGAACTGCTGGTTCCTAACAGTGCTAGAGGGCCCAGGGCTCAGGAAGAGAATCCGTGAGGACAGGTGAATGAATGCACAAATTGTAGTCCATCCACACAATGGAGTATTATGCAGCCAGAAAAAGGAATGAAGTCCTGACTCATGCTACAACATGGGTGAACCTGGTAAACTCGATGCTCAGCGAAAAAAGCCGGTCACAGTGGGGCACATAATGTGTGATTCCATTTGTACAAAATGTCCAGAAGAGGCAAATGCATGGAAATGCATAGAAATAGAAGGCAAACTGATGGGACTGGGGGGGAAGAGGGGATGGGAATGTCTGCTCAATGGATACGGGATCTCCATTTGGAGTGATGGAAATGTTTTGGAACTACACAGAGGTGATGCCGCACAACACTCTCAGTGTGCTAAATGCCAGTTACACATTTTGTAACGGTTAATGTTATGTACTTTCATCTCCATTGAAAAAAAAAACAACAAGCAATAAGCTCAGCATTAATTTCCCTCTGTGTCTCACAAGGTCTCTCTTGTACCTTACTTAGCAGCAACCTTCTAGAAGAGGTGACTCCCTCTCTCTGACATGCAGCCCTGGGTGTGTACGTGAGTGTTGAGGGAGTTGCAGAAGCATGTTAGGACCCATGCAGCGGGCAAGCCTTTGTAGACAAAAGGAAGGGGCACAAACACGTTGTTCACAAAGGGCCGAGGCGAGGCAGTGGGGGAGGGGAGTGCTTCTTACGCACAGTAGACCAGGAGCTCGTTGGTCACCTTTCGCTGTCTCCCGCTGAGCATGTTCTTCGCCAAGCAGGTGTAGTTCCCTTGGAGGTTTTGTGACATCAGCAGCAGCATGAAGCTGCTGACCGTCAGGTTGTTTCCAAAGAGCTCGGTCCTGGAATCCGGGGCCTGGAACCACCACTCAATCATGGGGGGAGGCCTGGAGCTGCTGGTGCAGCTGAAGTCCACCTGGGAGCCTTTGGTCGCATAGAGGGTGCCATTGGGGAGCACGCCGGTGGTGGAGATGTTGGCTTCGACCTGGTAGGGGCCACCTGGGAATGACAGAGGGGATGGGGAAGGCTGAACAGTTCATTTGAGCCCCTTACCAGCTCTAACAGTCTCACAGATGATCAGGAAGCAGCCAGTAAGGATGACTATATCTATCAAATGTTTCCTTTATGACAGATGCTACGCTAAGTGCCCTTACACATGCTCTCAGTTAATCCTAAGCCCTTACGTCTGATTTATCAAGGGGATCGATCCTTACAGAAAAAAGAAAATGCAAATTGTTCCTTTTCAAAAGACTGGTGAGTGGCAAGGAGGTCTGTGCACTAAACAGTTAACACAGCAGGCCCGAGTCTGCCTTCCTTACAAAGGCCGGCTTGGGAGGCTGAGGTTGGCCTTGACCGGTAACTGGGAACTTGGATGTCAGGGGGTTTCCCACCATTCCCAGAACTGATAAGAGTGGGGCTCACTGTGCCTAAACCGTTGGTACAGACAGCGTGTTCATGCTGCACCCCTGCTTTCCTTCCGAGAGCCTAGAATTTGGGTACGTGCTAGGCCCCCAATAAAAACTCAGGGTGCAGAGTCTCTAATGACTCCTGGTAGACAACATCTCACACCCGTTTGCCACAACTTGTTGCTCAAGGAATTAAGCGTGTCCATGTGACTCCACTGGGAAGGACTCTAGGAAGCTCGCTCCTGGTTTTCCCTGGACTTAACCCCAGGTGCCTTTTCCCTCTGCAGACTTTGCTTTGTGTGCTTTTGTTGTGATCATATTACAAGACAGGACTCTCACAGAACCCCCAGCACAACTTCACACCGAAAGACAAGGGCAAATTACTTAACCTCTCTTAGCCTCCACTTCTTCATCTGTGAAATGGGTCCATCTGTAATGCTAGGACCCACTTCATGGGGTCATGGTGACGATCAAATGAGTTAGTACAATATAGCACTTGGAACAATGCCTGCGTTGTTGAAAGCACTTGATAAATGCTAGGTTTTATCTCCATTCCCCTCACCTCTCCGAATTTCTTTCTGGTCCCCCAGAAATGCCCTCCCACTGTTGGTACCCAGTGCACCAAGATGCCATGTCCCCTTTGATGAGAAGATATATCTAATGCCTATTTATACTAAAGTCATTCTGTGTGTTACCTCTCCCAGAGGCTCCCTCTGAAGACCTAGGAGGGGCAATGCTTGGCCAAAGGAATAAATTTATGACTGCAGAAAATTTGGGGCAGAAATAGGCCAGTGGAAAAAATTACTGGGGGGAGGAAAAGCCTTTTCCCTCAAAGTGCAGCATCTACTTCGCTTACGTCTAACGCCATTGTATAACTCTAGAAATTGTGGGTTTCTGAGGACAATATTCTTGACCATATGCTTGCCAGGTTGGGGCTGGCTCCTAACAGTTTCAGCAATCTGTTAGATTCATGCCACCTCCCACAGAGGGTCTGGGGGGGGAATTATACTGTGGTTTGGGAGGTGCTCAACTGTCCCATTCACTGCTGCTGGCTCGTTGGTTAGGCATGTGGACCAGCAGGTCCGAGGGCGTGCCCACAGTTGGCGGACACCCAGTTAAGCTCAGGGTGCCTCCACAGTACCGGCAGCCAAGCCTGGGCCAGTAAAGGTGTTGTGTTAGATTGGACAGCCTGGCACTTCCAAATTGTGGTCTGGAGGGCTACAGAAGCCTGGCAAGGACAGTGTGGACCCCCAGAAACTGGCTGGGAGGAGCTTTTGACCAGCAGAGTTCTCAGCAAGAAATGGAGTTGGATACAGGGAATAGATGAGAAAGAAGCACATGGGAGAGTTAAAACCAAAAATCAAATGAAAGGCCCCAGCTGGAGTGCCTCAGTTGGCTGGACCTCTTATCAAGGCTGTGGTCACTGTCAGTTTCAATTCTTGACTCTTTGTGGGATGGGTGCCTTAGCCTAGTAGCTGTGAATTTATGCTCTGAATTCAGACAGACCTGGGTGTAAATCCTGTGGCGGCTATAAAGAGACCACCTTGGGCAAGGACCCGCCCCTGACATTCTCAGTTTCTTGTCTTTTTTATGAAATGAAAAGAACAGTAATAACTTCTATCACTGGATTATTGAAGGATCCAATGAGACAAAGTAAGCAGAACACTTAGCCTGGTGTTTGACATGTGACCAATAGTTTATCAGTGTATCATCAGTAGTATACCTGCAGATTGATTCTAGAACAAGCTTTGGCAGACGATGGCCTGCTATCCGTTTTTGTGTGGCCCACAAGCTAAGAAAGGTTTTTACAAATGAACATCCACAGTTGATTTGATGAGCGAGAACACTGGCTTTGAACCCCAATTAAGTGAAATGTTATCTCCCCCGGAAATAATTCCATTTTCCTCATTAGTAGGCCTGTACTACAAAAAAACATACTCAATTACTATTATATTTTGAATTTTGTCAATAAATGTGATGTAAAAGTTGGTTTTCTTTCTTTTTATATAAGTGTGTATATATATATATATATACACACACACACACATATATCATATATGTGTGTATTATACAATATCCTCATTGGCCCATAATGTCTAAAATATTTATCATCCGGCTCGCTACAGAAAAAGTTTGATTTCTGTTCTAGAACAATCTACCACTGCTGCTGCCCTCCTCTGCTGTCATTCTTGACATAGGAACTCACTTCTTTCCTTCCTCACAGCTATAGGTTGGCGAGTCAAGGGTCTCAGAGGGTTAATTTGCTTCTCAGGGAACCACAAAAAGGGAGATTCCATCTCAGTGTCATGGGTTCCGCACCAATAGGAAAAGTTATCCTCAGATGTTTACTCTTCTTATCAGCATTTTTATTTGAAAATGGCAAACAAATACACTGGGTAGTCTCTGCTAGGCAGTGGGCATATTTATAGTTCTACAGAGGGTAAAATCCTGGGAAAACTTAGAGACTGTTTTGACATCACTTTTAGAGACTCAATATAGACGGAAATACAACCCCACTGCCTCCCGATCTCCCTGGTGACTGCAGATCCTGTCCCAAAAATGGGAACCCAGAGGTCTTCAGCCTATCTAAGCACCCATCTCTGCTTCTGATGAGCTTGGCAAGACTCTGGGCAAGGATCATCCAGCTTCAGATGGGGGTCAACGATCTTTCTTCAGTGTACCCAACAGTCCCTTTCCCTAGGACCTTATGATGTGCTGAGGCACAGTGTCACCACCGCCCACAGAGAATGAGTATAAATAGGACGGGAACCACAGGACTTTCCTGAGACTCTGTCTCTTGTAAATCTGGAGTGTCAGCCACATTACTGGGTAGACAGGAGCACCCCCATCCTCCAAAGCCCAACTCAATCCAACGGGGCTCTTGGATTTGGACTCTTGTGCCAACCGGCTGCAATGCTCCCTCCCTCAACACTTGCTTGACCCGAGAAAAATGGACACAGAGTCTGGCTCCGTGTGCCATGAGTGCGGTCTTTCACGGGGCTAATCTCTAGAGGGACCCCTCAGCTCCCCAAGGCGTAAGAGATGATATCTTGAGAGAAGCACGAAGTCTACTGGAGCATGTTAAGGTCTGTGCCACCTTCCCCATTCTTCCAGCCTTTCTGCGGGTAGACACACAGCTGTTCGAACCTTATACCCACCCCAATCTGATACCAGGAGAGGATGGGTAAGTTGGTGAAAGAAACCACCATGGCAGCTCTGAACTGCTCTGGACGATGGGATTTCTGGACTCTCAGGAGAGGCAGTCCCAATCCGAATGGCAAGACTCTTCAATGGCACCATTCAATTAACCAGCATTAGTGCTGAGTCTTTTTGTCCTGAGACGGGTAACAAAATCGCATTGTGGTGCCCATCCAGGCAGGCTGAACCAGCCCAGGCGTATAGAAAGCGCCATCTGAGTCAGTGATTTTTTTTTTTTTTTTTTTACTGTAAGTTCACTTTCATCATAAGGTCTTTCACTTATCTCCCTACAGGGTAACAATGAAACTAATCCAACCCACCCCCCAATAAATTTAGCCAATGATTAATACAATCAGCATCAGATAAAGTCATCATAAACTAGAGAGAGCAACGTTCTTAAAAAAAACCGCAAAAAGCTGTAATGCCACCTTACTGCTCTGTGGTCAAAGAGAGGATTTCTATTGACAAGACTGACATGAAGGAACTAAGAATTACTGTTCGGCAGCTGGAGTGAGGGAGGCCTGCCAGTACTTGCCCATGGGATCACAGTGGGAACCAAACAGATGGGTGACATTTTTGGATACACCCACATTCATTCCTGGCCACTCAGCAATTATTCTATGGCACCTCCAGACGTAAAAAACACTGTGTTCACAAATCCATAAACCTTAGAGACCATCTAAAAATCCAGACATATCCCCGAAGCCTCGCTTTCCTTCAATCTCCACTTCTACTCCACTAGCAGGTCTTGCTGGTCTACCTAGAAATATTTTTCTGAACCTGTGCATTTTCACCAAGGCCACAGCTACCACCCAGTTTCTGGCCACCAATATCTTGTACCTCTAATAGGTTCCCTGTTTTTATTTTATCAGTCCTTCTCTAGACCACACACCTACATTCTCCACGTGAAATTCAAATGATACTGCACCCTTGCTTACTTAAAAGCTCCTTAAGTTTCTCTCGCATCTAGAATAAAATTCCAACTCCTTACAAAGTACCGTGAACTAGGTGGCTTAGAACAACATAAATTGACTCTCTAACAGTTCTGGAGGCCAGAAGTCCAAAATCAAGGTGTCAGGGGGGTCAGACTCCCTTGGAAGACAATCTGTCCTTGCGTCTTCCCTAGCTTCCGGTACGGGCCATTGGTCCTTGGTGTTCCTTTGCTTGAAGGAATGACCTCACCTTAACTTGATTTCATCGGCAAAGACCTTATTTCCAAATAAGGTAGCATTCACGGTTACCAGGGGTTAGGACTTCAGGCTATATTCCCACATCTCACACATCCTGCCCTCTCGCACACGGGGTTCCCATCCTACCAGCCTTCTCCCTATCTGAGCACGTACCAGTTGAATTTCTGCCTGGATTGCATTCTTTTTTATCTTTGTATGACTGGCTCCTACTTATCCTTCAGCTTAAATGTCATTCCTTCCAAAAACTCCTCTCTGACCCTCCCCCCCCAACTTTAAAGTGTTTCAGAGAATCACATCACCCCATCTGATCCTGCCCAATGCATCTGTGTGCTAATTGTCTGTCTGCCCCCCTAGGATATCAGCTCTAGGCTGGTGGGGACCTTGCTTGTCCCATGGCCCAGTACCTGGCATCGGGCTCTCAATAAATATACATTAAATAAAGGAATGAGAAATTCTTCATTTTACAGATCAGGAAACTGGGGAGCAGCAAAGTGTCCACACTGGTATTTCTACTAAACTACACAGCCTGCATTCAGAACACGATGTCCCTCTAAACAAGTGACCGGCAACCTTCTTCTGTAAAGGGACAGAAAATAAGTATTTTAGGCTTTGTAGGCCATACAGTCTATGTCACAGACACTCAATGTGGCTGTTGTAGCACCAAAGGCTATCGTAGATAACATGTAAATAGACAAGTGTGGCTGTGTTCCAAAAAGACCTTATTTATGGACACTAAAGTCTGAATTTCATATAATTTTCACAGGTCACAAATATTATCCTTCTTTTAATGTTTTTCAACTGTTTAAAAATGTAAAAAAAATATGGGTAGTTTGTAGCCATACAAAACTAGGCAGCAAACTGGATATGGCCCACAGGCTGTTGTTTGCCAACAGCATGCTCTAAATTCATGCATGTTTATGGACACTAGACTGTTTTTGGAAAGCACAGTAGTAACAGTAGCTCATTCCAAGCCCCGTACTAAGCACTATAACCTAAGAGCACATACCTGAATAATGCAATGTATTATCCCCAATTAATACATAAGGAAAACTGAAGCTCAGGGATATTAAGCTACTTACTCAAAATGATACAGAACTAAATGACAGCCGTAGGAACTCGGGCAGTCTAACTCGATTATGTTATCCTCTGACTTTGTTGCATAGTAAAATGGTATTAACAGCAAAATGACACGGCTAACAAGCCAAAAGTAACAGCTAACTATCATGCTAGGAGCCACTGATAGCACTTTATATCGGTCGACTGCTATCTTTTCATCACAGCAATTCTATGAGGCAAGAATTCTTTCTATCCCCATAGTGCAGATGAGGAGACACAGGTGGGAGAGGTGACTCAGTTTGCAGGCAGCAGAGCCCAGAATGAGACCCAGGCCACTGACTTCAAAGCTTGCCTCCTGTCTAATGCTCTGAGCACCTCACCAGCCAGTCCCAGTGCCCTCCCACCCCACTTACTGGCCACCTGCAGCCACACTTGGAACCACCGAGTCTCGTCCAGGGCCTCCCAGCAGCTGTAGTTGCCCTCATCCTGCAGGCTCAGTAGCTCAATGTGCAGGGAGCTAGCATTCACCAGAGAGAAGCGTGGCTTGGCTGGCGGGAAGCTGGAGTTTGAGGACAGGAGGAAGACTGGCTCCGAGTCATTCCGGTACCAGGTCACTAGGCCCCTCGTTTCTGAGATGTTGCCACAGTGCAGAGTAATGTTCTCATGAACTTCTCCGATGACGACAGCCTCCAAACCTGTACAAGGAAAGGTCAGGCTATTAATACCTTTCTTGATCTCTGAACAACCACCTTTTTTGCAGAGTTCCTCCACATTAGGAGTTTAAAAAAAATCAGGTGTGTGTTTTTAACTTGCAGTAACACACAGAGCCCCCACCCTGTTGGGACTCTTGGCCAGTACTTGAATCACAAACGAAACCACAATAAGATATCTACCACTTCACATACACTAAAATGGCTAAAATTGAAGACAATTATAAGTGTTGGCAAAGGTGTGGAGAAACTGGAACTCATACTTTGTTGGTAGGATTTTTTTTTTAAATAGCGCAGCTACTTTGGAGAACAGTTTGGCATTTTCACATAAGGTTAAAGTTACCGTGTGACTCAGGGATTCCACTCTTAGGTGTGTACACCCAAGAGAAATGAAAAACATATGTCTACACAAAAACTTGTACATATATGCTCACAGCAGCATTATTCATAATAGCCAAAAAGTAGAAACAACCCAAATGCTCAACTGATAAATGATTAGATAAAATGTGGTATATCCATACAATGGAAATATTATTTGGCCATAAAAAAATGCAGTACATGCTACAACATGGATAAATATTGAAAACATTATTCTAAATGAAAGAAGGCAGTGATAAAAGACTGCATAGAACTTGTGTGATTCCATTTATCTGAAACACCCAGTACAGGCAAATCTATGGAGACAGAAAATAATTAGCAGTTATCTAGGTCTGGAGGAAGTGGAGTACTGGGAGGGTGGGGAGTGGCTGCTAAGGGATATAGGGCTTCTTTCTGGGGTGATGAAAATTCCCTGGAATAAATTAGTACTGACGGTTACACAATCTTGTGAGTATACTAAAAACTATAAACTGTACACTTTAAAAGGGTAGATTTTATTGTATGTGAATTATCTCTCAATAGAGTTATTGTAAAAAAATAAAGCTGTCACCTGCCTCTGGGTAGCCTTCCCATTTATAAAATCAATTATAACAGTTATCTGTACTGGGCCTTCTCTCTGGTTAGAAGGGGTTCCATTTGAACGATCTGAAGCCAGCTTAGAACCACAGGATGTTCCAATTCTCTCCCCATCTTGGCCACACCATGCCCCAAAGCCAGGACAAGACAAAAAAAGAAAACCTAAGCCCCTTGCTGGGAGGCGGAGAATGTCATCTAATCCTAGAGATTCCAAAACAGCAAGAAATGCTTCTGAAAAGTCACTTTAAAGAGCAGGTGAGAACCCAGCTGGCGCGGCTCAGCGGTTGAGCACTGACCTATGATCCAGCAGGGTCCAATCCTCGGTCAGGGCACATGCCCCAGTTGCAGGCTCGATGCCCAGCAGGGGTTGTGCAGGAGGCAGCCGATCAATGACTCTCTCTCAACATTGATATTTCCATCTCTCTCTCCCTCTCCCTTCCTTCCTCTGAAATCAATAAAAAAAATTAAAAAAAAGCAAGTGAGAACAATTAGTGCTGGGAAACCAAGTTTTCAGTGACAACCCCCACTGAGGGTAGAAAAGGAGCTGTAGAATTACAGATGCAACATGTGTTCACGAGACCTGCAGGCCTGCCCCTTCCCTGGCTCCTTGGCAAAGGGCTAAAGGAACTTGGAAAAGCCCTGGTGAAACGTCAGTCTTAGAACTTGAGCTAACATTGTCTTCTCCTCCAAGGACTAGAATGACATAATCACAGAAGCAGCCATTGTGAGGCATTTCACTTCTCCTGGCTTTGCTCGCTCCCATTCTTTTAAACTAACAAAGCTGAAGTTGACCCCGGAGATCTTTTAGATGTGGCAGCCCTGTGAGCTGGGTTAGAGGCAAGGCGGGCTGAGTCCTGGCTCCGTGAGGAGGAATACAGTCATCGATGAGTGACGGCTGTGACGCAGACACAGAAAAGAAAGTCCCCGGAGTCCACGAGATCCATGCCTGGTTGTCCTATAGCCCCTCGTTTTACATTGATTAAACTGAGGTTCAGAAAGCTTAAGTAATTTACTTAAAGTCCCTGTGAGTCACTGAGAGAGCTGGCATGCCCACTCAGGTGTTCACTACTCCAGGTCACAGGGATTTACTCTGGTCTCCCAACCAGACAGGGTGGGACAATAAGACATAGTAACAGTTTGTGCTGCTAGAAGTCATCCACCTGGTGTCTAGAGGGGCCCCTGATATCTCCCACTGGGACAAGACGATACAGAAACGACCAATTTCCAACTCTACCCTCATATGGTCATTTACAGAGTTAGGATTGTACCCTTTTTTTTCCCTAGCAACTTTTCCCCAAGAATGACCTGGAGTTTACAATCTGTGGCAACAGTGGAGGCATGAAAATTGAAGTTAAGGGACAGGAAAAAGACACATTCTTCCCCAAGAAAATCCCCAATCTGAAAAACAAACAAAAATATAACAAGCTAGCGAAGCCCTCAGCTCTGTACACAAAGGTGAACTCGACCTGGGCATCAGAATAACTGGGCATAGCAGAGGAGGAGGCGTTCCTGGGTGGTGAGCCGCAGCCAACCGGAAAGCTCGTGCATTCCAATAGGATGATTTCCAACCTGGGTCTCATGTCCCCAGGTCGCCAGTGTTCACAGCGCAGTAAACGAATAGCTGGGGAGAAAGGAACTTGGAGAGACAGCCGATTGCAGACTATCCATCATCTCCTCCAACCCACTGCACAGTGACCACTAAGTCAAAAGAGGGCCAGGGGTAAGTACTACAACAGGGAAAGGTGATGCCCTAGGGAAGAGGGGCGACCACTGCTCAGTTCAAGGTAGGAAAGCAGGCCCTGTGCTGTCAGATCTTCAGACTTTTTTCCGGATAAACTGGAAACCTAGATTATGGGAGATTTTACTGTTTTTATTTTTATGTTTTAAAAATATTTTTATTGATTTTTTTCCAGAGAGAGAGAGAGAGAGAGAAATATCAATGTGAGAAACATCAATTGGCTGCTTACCCCACACCCCCCAACTGGGGATCCAGCCTGCAACCTGAGCCTGCACCCTGACTGGGAATGGAACCGGCGAGCTTTCGGTGCATGGGGTGGAGATCAACCAACTGAGCCACACCAGCCAGGGCAGATTTAATGTTTTTAAATGATTGCTGAAAACAAAACAAAATGAACACTCGTGCGAGGCCTAACAGAAACTTCTGGCACTTGCTGCTGGGAAGCTCAGGGAGCAATTCCTGCAGGAACCGACAAGAGATCAGTGGAGTGGGCTGGACTGGGCACCACAAAATAACACTCCACAAGAATTCTGGCAAACTCCATCACCAGCTGGCTCCTTGCCCTTCCCCTCCACCCAAGACCTCTCACCGCCTGTCACACTGCCCTGCACACAGCAGACATGCACTCGCAGGTGAATTAAATGTAAAAGTATTTTTTCAATCTTTTCATATCCCTCACATTTTTGTTAAGCAACCCTCTGCTCTCTGCGGTTACAAGGCAGGGCAGAGATGAAACATCTGAGAACTCTTGCCAATCATGTCAAATGTAAGAGGTCGGGTCAAGTGCGGCGGAAGGTTTTTGTAAGCCTGAAATTATTTTAATAAAAAAACAAAATAAGTGAAGTAAGAAGGCACTTCTTTAAACGCGCCAGTTCACATAAGTCTGCTTGCAGGGGTGTGCAGGGAAAGCCAGGGGTTACAGGTGGAAGGGCAGAGACAGGGACAGAAGGAGCCTCCACTTTGAGCACCTGCTCAGCAGGTAAAACCAGAACCGAATTTACATCCGACGCTTAAAAATCACCACCCTTTCCCCCTCCACGTGCCTCTTAACGTCCCCAGCTTTAAAATCTCCACGTCCAGCTTCCCCAGCTTTCCCACCACCTCTCCGCAGGCCTGGGCAGCCCCGCCGGCCGCCCGCCCCGAGAGGGGCGATATCTTGCTCCCTCCATCGGGCACCCGGGCAAATTCCTTTCTGCAAAGGGAGCCGAGCTGCGAGCAGGAAACTCAAGACCCACCCCGGGCGGCTTCGGGGCTACAGCCACGACCGGATCCGGTCGGGTCGGAGGGAATCCAGCCCCCGGCTTTCCCTCCGCCCTACCGCTCTGCCTGGCAAAACTCAACTTTTCCTTGCAGATCGCGGCCCTTACCTGCGGCGACCCAGCGGGCCAACAGCGCCCCGAGGCAGAGGAGGACCTGGGGCTCGGGCGCCCGTGCGGCCATCTCGCCCCAGGAGCGGGCAGGGCGCCTCAGGAAATGCAGGATCTGGCTGGAGAGGGTGTGCGCCCCCCCGCCCGCAGCGCTCCGGCCCCTTAGGGTACCAAGTGCTCCTCCCAGGTCCTCGGAACCGCAGACTAGATCCACTTTCCGCGGCCCCCCGGGAAGGATGCTTGGGGCGAGTCCGAGGTCGGCGCCGTGAGCTGCGCTGGGCTCCGGGTGCGATTCTCTCTCCCGAGCGCTCGGCCCAAGGGGTGGGAGGGCGCACCCCGCCCCTTGCGCCCGCCACCCACCACTCCCGCTCGCGGAAAAAACAACAGGAGCGGGGCTCCCTCCCGCCTCCCATCCAGGCGGGAGCCCAACTTCCTCTACCTTGGCCCGGGAGGAGGGCTTTATGCAAAGGGCGCGCGCCCGGGCTCG